ATTACAAATATGTTTTGTTAAAAAAGGAAAAAAGAATGAAATAAAATTTGTTCAAAATTTTGACCATAAATGGCAAATTTTCAAATATAAAATATAAGAAACGAATAGCAGTCACAAGGAAAATGAGAACGAAATAAATGGAATGATTATTTTTAGAAAAATTTTTTGGGTTTTTTAGGTTTGAAATTATTATAAATTAGATGAAATAAAAAAAAAATTTGGCCAATATTTAACAAATATTTAATATTTATTTCAATCATTGATAATTTTTTTATTCTTTTATTTCATCTATTAAATTCATTTATATTTATTTTAATTTCTATTTTTAACTTCCTTCATAAAACAATTTTAAAACTATTTTAAAACAATAATAAAGCAATTTAAATTGGAATTCAATCTGTCAATTTTATAATAAACGATTTCAGAAAGAAATCAAATAATTACGAAAAAATTAAATTGCAGTAATGATAGAACAACACATTTACACAATATATAATTCTTATAAGAAATATCAACCAACGTAAAAATAGTGCCCCTCTGAAACGCAAGGAATGCAAAGCTTAAACTATTAAATTGTCCTCATCTAACCATGAGAAGCATGCGATGACCTCGCTAGAATAAAAGGTCCGCAAGTGTTCCATATATGTCATTGCTATAGTTATAAGCCAAAATGACTGGTTGTGCCTTCAATTCTTGTTAGCTTCTTGCATCTTTTCAACTTTTCCTTTTTTCATGTCCAATTCTTAAATCGAGCTCACTTTTTAATTTTTAATTAATTGAAAGTTGAATCAAAATTTTGAATTCATTAGAGGGAATTATCTAAATTGCTGAATGAGCATAACTTAAGTTATCATTATTCGGCATAGGCTGGGGAAAATCTCCAACCTGCTGCTGCTTGGGGTTGTAAGTTTGCTTTTCTTCCCCTCAATTATTTCTTGATGAAATTCTCCAACATTACGAATAATCCACTGGATTAATTAAGCCAGAAATGATGAGTTCTAAGCAATTAATTGCTTGCATACCTCCAAATTAACAAATAGTTTTTCAATGCAAAGTGCGAACTCGGCAAAAATTTATTAAAAATTTACTAAAAAAATTTAAAATATGTTGAATTCGATTGTTTATTTTATTTTAATTAAGAGTAAGTAGGAGTCAGTCGTTGTTTTAGAAATCTAATTTGTATTACCAATATGCATGCATTGAATTCTCTAACAAATTAGGTGATCTGAGAAGCCAGCAGGATTAACCTGAAAAGTCGATGCAAATTCCTATAAAAAAAAAACAATGAATATACTAATTAAAAGAGCAATAAAAAATAATAAAGGAAAAGGAAAAGGAAAACAATTGAATTCATTTGAACTGAACGATATTATTTAAATTATTTTCCAAATTAAATATGGAAAAAAGAATTATTTGAGAAAATTTATTTATAGAAATGAAAATGATGAAATGATTGATTTAGCATTTTTTGCATAAATTAAATTAAATCAAATCAAAAAAATTTAAGTACCACACAAAATTAGTTAAAATAATAACAATAAAATGCGGGGTTAAAGGGGGATTGAAATGGTCGCAATCAAATTTTTTGCATCTGATTTAATTTCTCTTGATAAATTAATTCTTGTTCAATGAATAGCCAATTTCCGCCCTTCGTTTTGTCCTTTTGTATGAGATTTCGCAGTTCGTCACTCTGAAATATTATTGTTCGAGAGTCTTCAAAAAATCCGATTATTGCTTTTGATAAGTAACAATAAATGATAAGGTAACTTTTTTTGTAAATTGTTAATTAATTTGGTCTTTCTTATTTTAAAATAGCAAAATTTAAGATAATTTTAAACAGAATTTTAAATAAAAATTACTAAAAAAATATTGTTTCTCATCCATACTTGGTCATTATCTCTAATAACTTAACAATGAACTAATAAGGAAATAAATTTAATTCAAACTAATGGTACCACTTTTGGTCAATAATTCGACCACAGCGCATTTGTACGATTGGATAGCATATTGAGGATAGCAGATTGCCGAATAAAACTTCAGTGCGATATTTCTCTCAATCCATTCTTAACCATTCTTGATCGCTAAGCAAGAATGACCAGCTGTGTGGATTTGAATGCTTGAAAAGAATGTTAAAGTAAAGAAATAAGCATGCATAACTTAACCAAATGGTTCCATGGAAAATCCGTAATCCTAAAATGCCTATAAAATAAGCCTAGAAAATAGAATTTTGACTGGAAATTCGTAATTTAACATGGCTATTTTTAATTTTTTTCCTTCTAATTTATTTATTCCATTATTAACGAACACGCTAATGCTAATGCTGTTCACTAATGTTCTTCATTCTTAACTAAACGCTTGATTAAGAATGATCCAATAAATAGGGAAAATGCTATTTGCACACAATGATACAATAATCCTTCATTTTCAAAAATTATTGCATTTCAGTGTGCTTTCGTTTTCCCTCTCAGGAACGCATAAAAATAGATTAATTTAGAATAACAGAAGATGATATGCACAAAAAATTTGTAAATAATATTAATTATTTCAACTTAATTCGAGTGCCCCCCTATTCATTCTCTTAAGCCATTAATAAAGAATGACCATTGTCCAATAAATAGGGAAATGCTATGGACAAGCAACAATTCTTGGCAAATTGTTGCCGGAGAATAAGCTTTTGTCATATATTTGGCAATAATTCAACAATAATATAAACGATAGCTTTTTCTATTTCCATAATTAAACGGAAGACGAACGACAATTTATTCGCCTAACCGTTTTGAAGTGAATTATTCTCAGACAAACGTTTGAAGCAAATATTTCATCGTTACAAGCAAATGGCAAATTTATATTGTTCCACAAAAATTATATAAAAATAACCAATAATACCGCAAAGTTACGTTAAACCTCGCAAACTAAACAATAAACAATAATATTTTAAAATCCATAAATTTTTATTCCACAAATTCCATAAATACTCCATGAATCTCATATCGAAGAAGAAAGTTCCAAGAACGCAGAAACCACCCTCA